CAGATCAAGCCTAGCAAGACATCAAAGATACTAAAAGAATTGCAAAATCAAGAAGAAAAAAAGAAACTTATCCATTAAAAGTTAAAACCAAGTATTCAGAATAAGAATGATTGAGAAAGTAAACGAAGAGTTTGATAGCTTGGCAAGAAGATTGAAGCAAAAAAGAAAACAGCTTATATCTCAATGAGAAAATTTATTATTCAAACGCGAGTCTTCTTTTCAAGTGGACGATTTGGTGTAGAAATGGATCCCGACAGACACACCGAGGATGAGCAAAGGCAGCAAGAATTGGAGGAGTTTGAATATGAACTCTGATGTCTTGTCCTGATTGTAATGAGGCTGCTTTGGGGGACTGTACTTTGTCTGAGTCGGTATAGTCGATGTATTGATTTCGCCAATGTAAAACTCTTCCATCATCGCTTTTGCAGTCGCGCTGTGGCCCACATCCTCAAAATCATCTGTAGCATCTTTTCCTGCAAATTATTAACAACTTTAAATATTATCACGAAATAATTTGATCATCTTTCAGGATTACTAGGAAGCATTGCAAAATATTTCTGCAGAAAATGCATTCTTCAAAAAATGTACAAATATCTCGAGTTATAATTACCTGCAAGGTTCATGGTTTGTAAAATAATCCTATACTTATAATTAAGAAAAAACAATATTCTTGAGATTTTAAGTGACATTTTAAGACTTTTTGACATTTAAGACTTTTTAAGATTTTCAGATTTTGGAGGAATTTTGTGAAATCTAAGTCTGGAGGTGAGATTTGAAGTGGGATTTCGTATAAGATTTTTTGTTTAGAAATCCCCCCAAATCTTAAAAAGCCTTAACAAATACTAGTGTCAAATAAGTTAAATACCGATTTTGTAAGACTTTTTAAAATCATTTATCAAACGGCAACTAGAATTCAGATTCTTATGCATTTGCAAGATTGTTGTTTTTACTACCACACCAATAATTAGAAAACATATTTTTGGCAAAATTGCTATGCTGTTGAGGTTATGTGTTGGACCTACTTTCTTGAAGAACACTTTTTAAGCAAACACAAATCAAGTGACTGGTTTTTGTTATTGGAGGGTCATTGTAATTTTAAAATATAATAAGGCCAAACCTATAGGTTTAATAAACCCCTTCAAGAAACAACAAACGAAATAAAATTTACATCTTGTAAGTAGAAATATAATACGAACAACTTGCTTAGTTATTACCAGTTGAGGACACCAAAACTTCATCACCACCAGGATGATCCTCTAAGAATTTAGTAACGTCATACACCTGTTCAAAATGTAGACAAATTCCAGAAAAAGATTCAAGGTAATGAATGTCTGAGCTAAACTGAACAGATGTTGCAAGTATGATGAACTACTTATATGTACCAAAATGATACCTCAAATACATGATATAAATTTTATATTTTGTTCTGTACAACTCAAGAGTAAAAAATACTGAATATATTGGAAGTGTTTCATTTTTGTACTTCACAAAGTTTTTTATGTTATGTATGTTATCTGAATTTTAAAAGAAAGTGAGTTCAAATTAAAATAACAATTAGAAAAGAAGAAAAAAAAAAAAAAAAANNAAATCAAACATAAGAAGCAAATTTAAGTTGTGTTGTTCTATCTAGTCTCTCGTACAAACAAATTTCAAATAAATTTTTATACGATGAATTAAGGATCAACAAGGAAAATGAGGAAATATACAACAGAATTCAGTAAAACCACTAGGCGTAATATGGAACACAACACTAAGGAGGGCTTGAGCAGTAAGGGCAACTATAAAACAATAATAAGCACAGGTAATTCTTCTAAAAATGTTGTGGCGGACAACAAAATAAAGCCAAGTTCGTTAGCCATCATTAATGTATATAGGTGACCAGTGCAAATAAAGTGTTAATAAATCATAACATAATCCAGACGATCAACAAGAACCAAAACAGAATTTCAAGGAGCAACCATTGAGTAAATGTTTAATAGTTAAGAAAAATAATCTGCTGGTCTCTCTCTCTCTCTCTCTCTCTCTCTCTCTCTCTCTCTCTCTCTCTCTATCTCTATCTCTATCTCTATCTATCTATCTATCTCCATCTTTCTCTCTCGTGTAGGGCCGAACTAAGCACTCTGAAAAGCAAGAGTTGCATCATACACAATATAACATTAAATAAAAGAACACCTAAATTTATGAAATTTAAGAATACACAATAGCAGCAGATCACATTTCTTATTTTCATTTCTCCAATCTTAAAATTGAATGCGGGGAGATCACAAATAACAGAAATCATTAAAACGAGATGGTCAATATAAACTCATCTTTAAGAAAAAAAACACAATAACTGTCATAATCAAGCAAAACAGCAAAAAACATATTCAAAAGGGCAAGGGTGCAAAAACAGCCCAACATTTGTGATGCATTTAGGTGCAAATTAGTCCCAATACATTTTTTTCCTTTGAGGAATACATAGAAATATACTTAACGTTTAGTGATACATTGTATCCCCACATATTCTATCCGAATATACAAAATTTCTAATACTCTCTTTATCAAAACAGAGTGATCGATCATGTTTCATACACACATATGTAAAAGATCAACACCGCAATCCAAGCATTCAACCAATCCAAAGGGANAGTCTGGAAAAAATATAATAATAACTAAAATAAAATATGATCCAAACACACCTTGCCAGAAATGACAAGCCAACAGTCCTTGCTGGTGTTATGCTCAGAAACCTCAGCCAGAGTGAAAACTGTAGCCATCAGTGGAGAAGACGAAAAACAAGAATTACGAAAAAGGAAAAACTCGTTTTTAAGGGCCAAAGAAGTTGAAGAGTGTGTAAAGAGCGTGTGGCGGAGGGTTGGTAGGTGGGGGTAAGTGGGGGTAAATACGGTAAATTAATGAATTGGAAAGTTTGGTTGGTGAGAAGATGCCTAGTCAAATGTGTGAAAGCAATTGATTTTAAAACATTTTATTTTCGAGTAATTCCTCAAAAATCCTCAATGCATAATTAAATTTTCTTGTCAGTCCTTAATACATTTATTTGCCTTCTGCACCCCCTAATACATTTATCTATTTTCTCTCAACTCCCTATATATATACTTATTATTATTTGTCATTTAATTTTATTCATACCTCGCAACAACTGAAAAATATCAGAAAAAAGAAAAAAAAAAAACCACCTCGTCTCTTAAGATTCCCAAATTCTTGAAAAATCTAATCCCAAATATCAATCGTCGGTGAGTGATTCTCCGTCAGGCCCATCGGCGGGGACGACACGAAATTGTTGATATTAGCCACCATATGGTCCATGAATGGATTTTTCTTCGAGGCGGAGGGGCGGCGGCGGCGGCGGCGGCCTGTAGCGTGTAGATTTTTGGTGGTCCGATGAGAGAAATACATGTGGAGAAAAATGAGGCAATTTATGTTTACTTTCAGCCAAAATTCGAAAATTGTGAATGGGTTTACTCTTGAGGAATTGAAACTAGTTTAGAAGGTATACTAATTTTGAAGATTTACACGAATTAAAACTTATTTATTGAGAAGATGAAAGATAATTGGATACCTAAAAATGAAAGCGAGCGAGCAACCTGAGCTTGTTCGATCCCCTCGCACAAAATAGTTTATAATTAATAAGGAATTTTGTGTTTGGAAGTAATTAGAGGTAAAGAGGAGATATATATGATGGAGGTGTTACGGGAAAGCAGATATATTACGACGGCGGGGCAGAAGGAAAGCTCGGCCGGCGCGGAGGAAGAGGAGGAGAACCCCGCCAAGATCCAATTTGGGCGCTGCGAAGAAGAAGAGAACATGATGTTTAGCAGGGATGACGATACGGTGACGTCTTAACTCCAGATTCCGCTAGGCGAATCTCCTACTTTCTGTGTGATTTGTGCGTGTGTATATGTTTGGTTGGGTCACTATTTTTGTTAAATTGGGAATTGAATCAGATTTTCTTATGCCAGAGATAGTATTCATTCATCTGATTGGAAATTGATAAGAATTGAGAAGTGGATCACCTAGGCTAATGGAGCTGAATGATTTCGTTCGTCAACTTCATAAGAAAAAGTTGATTGATGTCCTTAGTTTCTGTGAGGTACTTCATCGCTGAGTTTTTATTTTTTATTTTTTATTTCACCTTCAGCGGCCATTTTATGTGAATTTGACATTTATTTGCCTTTGGCAGACAAAAGCAACGCCAATAGTAGAAGGTTATGGAGGCTGGGCTTTTCATATGGAGATTGTACCCATCCTGGATTTGGTGAACTCGTTGTAAGTTTGAAGGTGTTATACTAGTTCAGTTAATAGGTGAGGTCAAAAGCCTACAAAGCCCAATTTCATCATGAGAAAAGAATTAGCAGCAGCATTAATTTTGATACTGTGTTCAGTTTTTTCTTATTGGTTTGTAAGGTACATTTGTTGATGAATTTTGAGAGGATGATACTAGTTTTCTTAAGGAAGTTATGTTTTAGAAACTGATACCCGTTTGAGATTGATGTCATGTGTGGCTGTTGTGGTGAGGCTATGGAGACTGTAGAACACCTTTTTCTGCATTGCCCAAGAGCACAGCAGGTTTGGAAACTTAGCCCGGTTAGTTGGGATGGGATCTGCAGGGAAGATTACAAGTTCAGTGACTGGTGGGGCACCATCTGCATCATAGGGGACACCAGAGTGGCAGAGGCTAGGATTGAACTCACCACGTACATTCTCTGGTGGCTATGGAAGTCAAGGAACCTGTGGGTGTTCGAAAGGCAATGGAGACCAGAAAGGAGCATCATAAAAGGGGCTATCAGTGAATGGCAAGAAGCTCAAACCAGATGGAAGTGAAGATGAGTCATTACAAGGTTCTTTCTAGGTCTACTTGTAGTTCAGTGGTTAGATCCTTGTCTTGTACTTTTAGTTAGTATACATGTGTTCTGTATTGGAGGTTTCAGCTCTCAGCTGCCTTTGATGTATTTTAGAACATTTGGTTAGTTTATGCGGTTGTTTAGCCTACTTTGTTAGTAGTGCTCTCTGGCTTTGCCTCCGGCTTCGAGCTTGTACCTTTGTATTTGAACCTTGTTTCTCTATTTTTATGAGCATTCCTATCGTTTCAATTTTGGTCAACATTTTTAATTTTAGTATCAGACCTAGAGTAAGATAGTGCCACAATTATGGTGTTTTAGTACCAGATATCGGGTCTTCAGTATCAACTCCGATGAATAAAAAAAAAAACGAATTTCGTAAAATGGTACCTATTTTTTTGACAAAAAGTACCACTTCTTCTTCTATGCAGTACCAATTACTGATCAATTAGTACCTACTTTGTAGGAAAAACAAAAAATAGATTATTTCAAATTTGGTCAATATTTTCAAAATTAGTACCAGACCTAAAGTAAGATAATATCAGCTTTATGGTATTTTAATACCAGATATCGGGTCTTCAGTAACAACTCCGACGAACATAAAAAAAACACTGAATTTCGGTCTGAATTGATGTTTATATGACTCATTATCACTCTCACATTAGTTTCTATTAGATTTAAAATGTGTTTCATTAAGTTTAATAGCAAATTGGTCACGAACTCAACACACTAATGAAAAAACACTACTAATACACTTCATCTCATTAAAAGACACACTTCATCTCATTGAATGATCATACATGACTACTTCAAATTCTATCTATATGTTTTAACTTCCACTATTTTTCAACCAAATCACGTGTGAATGATTCACGTGGCATGGTAGGCATGGAGGATTAAAGAAATTACGATTACTAAAACGGTACCAGTTTTAACAGAAATAGTACCGCTTCTTCTTCTGCGTAGTACCTGTTTTTAATCAATTAATACCTTCTTTTGGTCAACGAAAATGGATTACTTCAATTTTGGTCAACATTTACAAAAATTGGTACCAGACCTAGAGTAAATAGTACCAACTTTTGGTATTTTAGTACTAGATATCGGGTCCTTAGTACCAACTCCGACAAACATAAAAAAATACCGAATTTCGGTCTCAAATGATGTTTATATTAGATTTACAATGTTTTTCATTGAGTTTATCGCAAATTGGTCATTAACTCGACACACGAATGATAAAACACTACTTATACACTTTATCTCATTGAATCATCATACATGACTACTCTAAATTCTACCTATATGTTTTAACTTCCACTATTTTTCATCCAAATCATGCATGAACGATCCACGGGTGATGGTAGACATTAAGGATTAGAGAAATCACGATTCTTAAAATAGTACCTGTTTTAGCAAAATAGTACCGCAACTTCTTCTACGTGGTACCTGTTTTTGATTGATTAGTACCTACTTTTGTGAACGAAAATAGATTATTTCAATTTTGATCAACATTTACAAAAAGTAGTACCAGACATATAGTAATATAATATCAGTTTTATATTGTTGTAGTACCTGATATTGGGTCTTTAGTACTACTTGTAATAAACACATAAAAACACCGAATTTCGGTCTCAAATGATGTTTATATGACCCATAATCACTCTCACATTACTTTATATGAGATTTAAAATATTTTGAATTGGGTTTAATCATAAACTGGTCATGAACTTGACATACTAGTAAGAAAACACTACTAATACATATCATTTCACTGAATGACACACTTCATCCTATAGAATCATCATATATGACTATTCCAAATTCTACCTATATGTTTTAACTTCTACTATTTTTCATCCAAATCATGCGTGAATGGTCCACGTGTCATGGTAGACATGAAGGATTAGAGAAATCACGATTTCTAAAATAGTACCTGTTTTACCCAAAATAGTACCGCATCTTCTTCTACGTGGTACCTGTTTTTGATCGATTAGTACCTACTTTTGTCAAGGAAATGGATTATTGCAATTTTGGTCAACATTTACAAAAAATAGTACCATAAATTGAGTGAGATAGTACCAGTTTTACATTGTTGTACTGCCTGATATTTGGTCTTCAGTACCACTTGTAATGAACACATAAAACACCGAATTTTAGTCTCAAATGATGTTATATGACCCATTATCACTCTCACATTAGTTGCTATGAGATTTAAAATGTGTATAATTAAGTTTAATCGCAAATTGGTCACGAACTCAATACACGAATGAAAAAACACTACTAATACATTTCATCTCATTGAATGATCATACATGACTACCCTAAATTCTATTTATATGTTTTAACTTCCACTATTTCTCAATCAAATTACGCGTGAACAATCCACGTGGCATGGTAAACATAGAGGATTAAAGAAATCCGATTACTAAACTGGTACCAGTTTTGACATAAATAATACCGCTTCTTCTTCTGCGTAGTACCTGTTTTTAATAAATTAGTACATACTTTTGGGCAGCGAAAATAGATTACTTCAGTTTTGGTCATTTGCAAAAATTGGTACCAGACCTTGAGTAAGATAGTATTAGCTTTTGGTGTTTTAGTACCAGATATCGTGTCTTTAGTACCAACTCTGACCAACATAAAAAAAATACCGAATTTCGGTCTCAAATGAGGTTTATATGACCCATTATCACTCTCACATTAGTTTCTATGAGATTTAAAATGTTTTTCATTAAGTTTAATAGCAAATTGATCACGAACTCAACATACGAATGAAAAAACACTACTAATACATTTTATCTCATTAAAAGATTCACTTCATCTCATTGAATGATAATACATGACTTACTCCAAATTTACATATATGTTTTAACTTCCATTATTTCTCAACCAAATCACGCGTGAATGATCCACGTGGCATGGGGGGGAAATTTCATTGTAGGGCTTGACTTTTTATTATTGTATCACAACATTTTCATTTGAAGGTTTCAATTTTAAGTTAATCTTAATATAAGGCCTACTTTTATATTCTACTTTTCAATTTAAGACTCCATATCAATTTGTATTTTGATATAATTATGTAAACAACAATACTTTTTTTAAAATTTATTTTGTAAGTACTTGTAATAAAAAATTAAATATCAATAGTAAATTTATCTAATAAGATAATTATTTCATAATTTACATTAATGCAAAAACTTAATGAAATTTATTTTAATAGTTAAAAAATAAATATTAGCTTAATTTTAATCTAAATATGTGATAACATTAAAATATAAACTATTTTAGAAAAATAGTTTTATTTTTTGTAAATAAACTTATAGAAAATAGTATTTGTGAATAAAACTACCTACAATAGAATTTTTCAGGTATTAATTTTATACATTTTTAACTTTTTCAAAAATATAAATTTTATTCACAAACAATATTTTCTAAAATTTTATTTAAAAAAAATAAAATTCTTTTTCTAAATAGTTTATATTTTAATGTTATCACATATTTAGATTACAATTAAATTAAAATTATTTTTTACCTTTTAAAATAAATATTTAAAATTTTAACTTTTTAACTTTAAAAAATTTTAACTTTTTAACTTTCAACAAATAAATATTTAAATTTTAGTCCTTGGCGCACGGGATTTCACAATAAAGAATATAATCTCGCCTTAACGGCCATTTATATTGAAATTATATTCCTTTTAGTGTTTTAAAATGTTTATAACATGATTCATCGCGTTTTGTCTCTTATACTACGCAGCGTAAGTAGAAATTTGTGTTGCGTAAGCTATTAGAGTATAAAATTTTGTTTGTTAGAAATATCATATATTCGCATATAACAAAATTGGTTTCTTAATTTTAAAAAATATTTTAGTGATATGATAAATTTTCGAACAAAATAATGTTGTGTATTATGATTAATAAAATGAGGGCGATTTTATTTTGGCATGAAATGTAGAAATTTAAATGATATGAATTTCATTTGGTATGAATATTGTATTTAATTTTAAAAATAAAATAAGTGGTATGAATTTTATTTGGTATGGGTATGAAAGTCGAATTTTAGGTTGATTTGTTATAAAATCAAGGTGATATAATTCTCAATTATTAGCATATTTCTACAATAACTTGTCATAAGATATTAATGATAATTTTATAAATTGCCCCGATATATAATTTTCGAATGCTCTGATCCTAAGCAGGCACATATGCTTCAAAAGTTTATTTGGCATAATTATATGCTTTGTATTGACGCATGTACATGTTCAGTTTTAGGCATGTTGTATGTTATATCTCAAAATAATCATATTTTAATGATTTTCGATTGACATCCATATTGCATATATAAAACAAAAAATAATTACATCTATCATTATAAATAAAACTATATTTATTAAAAAAATAATTTCAAAAATATGAATACAACATAAATT